AGAATATGTTAGAGTACGCATTTATGTGTACATACATACACACATACAAATGAGCGCGTGTATAAGGCTGGAATGCTTGATGCTATGCGTGTAGACTTACATACATATATACATATGTATGTATTTGCGTATATGTATTTGAGGGCTATTTAAGAACAAACAAATGTAAACCTATAAAATTATTCGACTAAGAAAAAGAAAAGTATTAAGTGCCATTCATTCAAGCTCGCTCCTTCCCAATACAATTTTTTTTAAGAAAAAACGAAATATGTATGAAAAAAAAAACATCGAAGAGGTTTCGAACCTCCCCTACTCTAACATAATTTGCGTCGCCCTTAGCACCCGCGCCAATGTTTTGCCTGACCAGTCAGTTGCTAAAATACAATAGCTTAATAAGAGAGCGTCATCAGACAAAACTACAGTAACGGCTAGAAAGTCCAGAAAGTAGCAATAGCTATCGATGATTTTCAAATTTTAATGGGATCATGCCCTGTTTTTTGTTGCGCACGAGACTTCAAAATTGCACTATATACTCTCGTTGACAGCGTTTGGGCTGTGAATGAGTATTCTGCAATCGCTAACGCCGACGTTCTTACTTGTTATACCCTGAACCCGTTGAAAATGGGAAATCAGGGTATAATGGTTTTGTTAAAAGTATGTAACAGGCAGAAGGAGGCGTGGCAGACCCCACAAAGTATATATATTCTTGATCAGAGCGACGAGCAAAGTCGATTTAGCCCTGTCCGTCTGTCTGTCCGTCCGTCCGTCCGTCCGTATGTATGAACTCGTCGATCTCAAAAGGTAAAAGAGTTAGACTTGAAATTTTTTTTCCTAGGTCCGTGTATATCACTTGCATATCAAAATTTTCTTTTTTAATCGATAACTACTCCCGATATTTTATTATCGATCAAAACCCTTATCGAAAGCTAGTTATTTAATTATACTCCTACACCTTTAGAGCTAGAGCTTGCAAATGTTATATGTAGACTTATATGTATTTTATATGCTGTCATCTCATCAGCTTTGACGTTGTCATTATTATCAGAGGTGCTCACGCAATTGCGGATACTGCCTTCATCATCATTCTTCAGCAGTTCCATGTCCACTGGCATATAAAGTTTGTAGCGCTTGCATAAACAGTCCCATCACTGCAGGAGGAATGCTCTCCAAATCTTACCTCTAAATCTGCTAGCGCTGGCTGGACTTTTTTCCATCAGAAAGATAACCTGTCTTTATAGGATAGAATATCTTCCTGGATGTTGTGCTCTAAGATGGCAGACTCGTTTGCCATTTCATTCCTTAATCTTAGAGCTTTCCTATCCACAAGTTTTACCAACTCTTCCATTGGGCTCGAACCACCAAATGAAAACATAGCTTGCTTTGATGTTTTCGGTCTCGTTTCCCAGCTATACAGTTGGTCTGTGTCTATGGCGTTGTCGGCAACTTCGACTTTCATGAATTCTTTATTGGCTCTGATTTCTGCCATTATGCCACCATATATTTCTCTTTAAATATTGATGGTTGACGACACCGTTGTTTGTTTATTGTAGATCCATTGGCTTATCTCGTTGGAGGTTTTTTTTTGTTTTGATCAACAGGTTGATCTTGCTGTGCCTCGACTCACAGCTGGGGTTGGTAAGCTAATGCACAAATCTATAATACTTTAGCACTTCACTTTGTACTAATCACAAACATTTTTCCTTGTGGATTGCATTGAAGTATTAAAATACTTCATCCGGCTCGAAGGACCATGAACGAATATACTTTACTGTGATGGTGTTTAGTTGCGTATTGATCTTTATTCTTCTGAGCCTGGGTTTATATACCCAGACTCATGCATAATTTCAACCCTTAAGTGTGTAAGGCTCAGCATTGGTCTATTACATGTTCTTATTTTATCGCTGAGTTTGTAAGGCTCCGCGTGGGTCCATTATCTATTCTTATCCTATCGCTGAGGTTGTAAGGCTCAGCGTTCGTCTCTTACATATTCTTGTCGCTAAGGGTCAGAGTCATATTTATTCTAGTCTGACAGTTCACACTTGCCACATATAGATAATATTATCTATTTTATGTATGCTAGCTTTTAAGTGCGTAGAGGGTATGTTCCCATACTTATCACGTATGTATACTAACATTTTTCTATACGCGCGAAATTGTCGTATGTCCATACAAATTTTTTTGTTCTCTAAGTGTAGTTAGCTACTTTAAACGGGAATTTTTTTTCATGTTCTTTTTTGCCGTTATTCCTTGATCTTTTAATATTCTTTGATTAAGCAGATAAGAAGCGATCCTGCCAAAGCTCGAATTAGTGTTACGTTGAGTTTTAGTGCATCAAGTTGCAAGCATAATTACGAAATTATGATGTAATTGCTTAAGTTGTGGAAAAGATTATGGTAAAAGAGATTGTAATGAAATATCCTCAGCTCTTATAAAGATTTTCTTCTAGATAGTAAAAAAAAAAAAATAAAGTCTGAGCCTTTTTTGAGTTAGTTGCGCTGGCCAAAAAAAAAAGAATAAGGCTATGCTTGCCGGTTTGCGTTTTTTTAGAGACTTCAACTTTTTTAAATACAATTATAATCACCTATTTGATTCCTGGACATACAATGATGCTTGTAGGCTCAATACATAGCACCATTTAGTCTTTTATTAGAAGCCGCAATGTTTGGGCGCTAAGTAAATGGCCGACGGGTGCGTTGAATTAGCATAGGTTTCCAAAACTGACAACTTATTATTTAACAAGTAAGAAGATTCTAGTCGAGACTGCTCGACTAGGAGATACCCTGAACCCTCCAATCTGATATTCTAATCACTCTGCACTTCTTTTCGGCACACATACATACACACGCGCGTATTAGAACGCGCTCTGCTAACTGTGCAATAAGCAGCGACTGCGCTTGGGCTGCGCTGCAGTGTGGGCAACATTATAAGAATTTATTTGTCGAATAATTTAATTTCTAGACGTACAATCTTAATAAAACTTTCAGAACGTGATCATAATGTTCAAATATACATATGTACATTCGAAAGCACAAGTCTCTAGTATTTAAAATAAGCTTTTTACAAAGGTCAGGGTGAGGGGGTGGAAATAGGAGTGGGGGGTAAATTTTAACAAAAATCGAAATTATATAAAATACATATAAGTGTACATATAAAGTTTGCAAGCTCTAGCTCTAAAGGTGTAGGAGATATAATTAAATAACTAGCTTTCGATAAGGTTTTTGATCGATAATAAAATATCGGGAGTATTTATCGATTAAAAAAGAAAAACTTGATATGCGCGTGATATACACGGACCTAAGAAAAAAATTTCAAGTCTCTAGCTCTTATATCTTCTGAAATCGACGCGTTCATACATACGGACGGACGGACGGACAGACAGACGGACAGACGGACATAATAAAATATCGGGAGTATTTATCGATTAAAAAAGAAAAACTTGATATGCGCGTGATATACACGGACCTAAGAAAAAAATTTCAAGTCTCTAGCTCTTATATCTTCTGAAATCGACGCGTTCATACATACGGACGGACGGACGGACAGACAGACGGACAGGGCCAAATCGACTCAGCTCGTTGCTCTGATCAAGAATATATATACTTTGTGGGGTCTGCCACGCCTCCTTCTGCCTGTTACATACATTTAACAAAACCATTATACCCTGATTTCCCATTTTCAATGTGTTCAGGGTATAAAAATCAAACGTTAAATTTAGGCAAACTACAGCTATTTTGCAGCACGGATTAATGGAATTACGTTATGAATATTTCGAAAACACGATTCAAAAACCTATACATATATGTATGTATATATGAATCAATATATTAAAAGTTTATATAAGAGCAAGTTAAGTTGTTGGGCTCAGCAATCATCGCTTCATTGTAATTAAGAGCCGCTGTTCATAGAATATGTTAGCATTTAAGAGAATTTGTAACGGAGATCACGCTCTCCCTTTTGCGATGTCTCTTTCTCCCACGCAGCGGCTCAGCTTTAATCAGCCGGCTCGCGTACATTGAAATTAGTATTTAATTAATTAGTAATTAACTCTTGTTTAGAGCAGATGCAGTGTTAGATTGACTATTACCACTGACCAAACAACACATAGACTAGACATGTAGAGCAACGTTTTTCCACGCCGCAACATCTGTCTAGCAAGTCCCGGCCAACTTCGTATTCGCTCGGCTTGGTATTGGATGGCTCGGGTAATGAAAGATAGCACGACGAAATCAGTGCGAAATCAGGTACCACATTTTTAAAAAACATTCATTCTGATAGGCAAACCCACGATCATTGAATGAAATCAGGTACTTAAACATAAGCGCGCCTCTTCAATTAAAACCCAAAATCGTTCACACCATTTTAAGTTCATGGAGGCACACGCTAATGTTCATCTCCCAGGCATACACACACGCACATGTAAAGGCACACAGGCATACAAGAGCTTCTACAAGTTATATCATATACCATAATTGTGAGCAGCGCCTCTCATGCGTACACACAATCAAATGTATATACATACATACATACATATGTATGTGAGCACTTCACAAGGTCGACAAATGCAAATGCAAGTGCTCGGTTCCTTTGAGGATAGAGTATTATCAGAATATTGATTTGATGAGGATTCAAGTAGGATGTTAAAATAGCAAGCGATTCGTCTTCAAAATCAGCATAGCAGCGTTTGAAGCTGATTGCTTGCGTTTTGTCTTCGCCTCAGCGTGCACTATGCTCGCGAGCGAGCGTATTTGTGCTGCACAGTTTTTTAGTCTTCTGCTTCAGAAGGCTACAAGAACTTAGAATTAGAAAACCGAATTTTACTAAATATTTACTGTTTTTTCCTTTAATTATGATATTATTCTGCATTTTCATGATTCAATATTCAATTGGTCATGTTTTTAATACTATATACTTAATATCTTTTTTTGGGGGAGTACCCATATTTTGATTACAGAATATACAGTTATCGAGCCCGAAAAATTACTCGATAACAATATTAGCGTAATAGTTACTCTGTAATCGCCGGTATATTTTAGGCTACGTGTCTTAGTTGTTTTTCGTTGACATTAAAGTGTGAGATAAATCACACATTTAAAATGAACCGGGGATCGAAAATATTGAATAGTAAAGTTGCTGGTTACAGCAGCCTTATAACATTTGCTGTCTTACTAATTGCTTGGATAGCCGGATTTTCGTCCCGTTTATTTGCCGTCATAAGATTTGAATCGATAATACATGAATTCGACCCATGGTTCAATTACCGAGCAACTGCCTACATGGTGCAACATGGCTGGTATAAATTTCTTAATTGGTTTGATGAGCGTGCCTGGTATCCACTCGGTCGCATCGTTGGAGGCACTGTATACCCTGGATTAATGATAACATCTGGTGGCATCCATTATCTATTACATATATTGAACATTCCCGTACACATACGTGACATATGTGTCTTTCTGGCACCAGTTTTTAGTGGCCTCACGTCTATTTCAACGTATCTACTAACAAAGGAACTTTGGTCGCCTGGCGCTGGATTATTTGCTGCAAGCTTTATTGCCATAGTGCCCGGTTATATTAGTCGCTCTGTTGCAGGCTCTTATGATAACGAAGGAATAGCCATATTCGCATTACAGTTCACATACTTCTTATGGGTAAGATCTGTTAAGACTGGATCCGTATTTTGGTCAGCTGGCGCAGCGATATCCTACTTTTATATGGTTTCGGCTTGGGGAGGATATGTATTTATTATCAACCTGATTCCATTGCATGTTTTTATGCTCCTGATAATGGGACGCTACTCCCCGCGACTTCTAACCAGCTACAGCACTTTCTATATTCTCGGACTGCTGTTCTCCATGCAAATACCGTTTGTTGGATTTCAACCGATTCGCACAAGTGAACATATGGCGGCAATGGGTGTTTTTGTGTTACTCATGGCTGTTGCTGCTCTGCGCCACTTGCAAACTGTTTTGTCAAGAAATGAATTTAAGAAATTATTTATTGTTGGCGGATTACTATCAGCAGTCTTAGTGTTCGTTGCCGTCGTTGTGCTAACTATGATGGGCGTTGTTGCACCATGGAGTGGAAGATTTTACTCACTTTGGGATACCGGCTATGCTAAAATTCATATTCCCATTATTGCATCTGTATCCGAACATCAGCCTACCACGTGGTTTTCCTTCTTCTTTGATCTGCACATTCTTGTGTGTGCATTTCCTGTCGGCCTGTGGTATTGTGTAAAGCGGGTCAATGACGAACGCGTTTTTGTGATACTTTACGCCATAAGCGCTGTCTATTTCGCCGGTGTGATGGTCCGTTTAATGTTGACCCTAACTCCTGTTGTGTGCATGCTTGCTGGTGTAGCATTTTCTGGACTGTTAGATGTGTTCCTGCAAGAAGACTCGTCTAAACGATTGGCAAACACGGTTAACTCTGTACAAGAAATTGATGAGCAGGAGGAATCATTGGAGAAAAAAAGCTTGTATGATAAGGTAAATAGCTATAATAATCAACTAGCTCTACATTTGACAAATATGTAAATTATACAATAAAACCAACTTAAATCATCTTCGGAGTACTAATAGATAAGTATTAGGTGACTTGAAACTAACTAGAAAACCAATGGGGATGTTAACATAAAAATAAAAAAATTATATAAATAATATTAATAATGCATTTAATATTTACAGGCCGGAAAGTTAAGGCACCGAACCAAACATGATCCCACTCACGAGACTGGCATAAGCTCAAATTTGAAAAGTATCGTAATTTTGGCGGTTCTAATGATATTAATGATGTTTGCTGTACATTGCACATGGGTAACAAGTAATGCATATTCGAGCCCGTCTATTGTTCTTGCTTTTCATAATAGCCAGGATGGGTACGTACACATATTTTATTTTTATTGCAATAAACGCACAAACGTACTTAAACTCAAATTTTAAAGAAAACATCTGTATATCTTTTATCTTGCGTTGTCATCAGTATAGAATATTAATACTGCTCATAGCAGAACTTGAGATACACTATTTTAATTTGCATATATAATGCATAAAATAAGTAAAAAAGGATGCCCGGAAACTCTCTTCTTCATCTTTTAAGCGAGCGGAAAACAATAAATTAATAAATAGTGTAAATATAATATTTATACTCATTCACAAATGTCAATTAGTTTTGGTTTTGTGCAATGTCCGTCTGTCTGTCCTTGTGTTTAAGCTAGAGACTGGAAATTTGGAACACATACTCGTGTAGAGCTCCGATCTATAAAGTGTTAAAATTTTCCCGATCCGCCCACTAGAGGCGTGGCAAATCGGAAAATTCATTTTCTGATAGTTGAAGAACTAGAAAGCTAAAATTTAGAATGTTGCTCCGCATCGACCATTCAAGAGCTATGGCGGATATATCTGCGCCCATTGGGGACGTGGCAAATCTCCTAGAGTTTTAAAGCCAGAACGCTGAAATTTCGCGCGTAGGCTGTTATGATTCTATAAAGATTAAAGATTAAATAATTATATGTCTACGCCCATTGCGGGCGTGGCAAATTGGACCTGATGATATAGTGATGTTTTAATTCTACTATATTTTGGACACTATTATGCTAGAGACCTCAAATGGTATATATACTCGGGCTGAGCACCCAAGACCAAAAAGCTTCGACGGGTATATGTCCGCCCACAGGGTGCGTGGCAAATCGCAAAAGTTTATATCTCCTAAAGTATAATAGCTAGAAGCTTAAAATTTAGATAGTTAAGTTACTAGTAACCTCCCCTATGGATGACCCAAAAATAATTTTTACGCCTCGTGAGGGGCGTGGCATATTGAAAAATACCCTGTAATTTACACATTTTTTGAGCGTAAGCATTCAAATTTGTCAGTTAGGGTTAGCTCGTTCTAAGAACTGACCAAAAATTAGATGTCTACGCCAAGTAGGGCGCTAAACTTAGCTGCTAAATTACTGATGGGGTGTGAATGAGTATTCCGCAGTCGGTAACGCCCGACTGCAACGTTCTTACTTGGTTTAATCTGTATTTTAGTTCACGAAATATATTAGATGACTTTAGAGAAGCGTATTACTGGCTCTCTCAAAACACGGCAGATGACGCTCGTATTATGTCATGGTGGGATTATGGGTACCAAATTGCCGGGATGGCTAACAGAACAACATTAGTCGATAATAATACTTGGAATAATAGCCATATAGCCCTAGTTGGAAAGGCAATGTCGTCGACTGAAGAAAAGTCCTACGAAATAATGACATCTTTGGACGTGGACTATGTTCTAGTAATATTTGGAGGTGTGATTGGATATTCCGGTGATGATATAAACAAGTTCCTTTGGATGGTACGCATCGCGGAAGGAGAACATCCAAAAGATATCAAGGAAAGCGATTTCTTTACGGATCGCGGTGAATTTAGAGTTGATGCAGAGGGAGCTCCGGCATTACTGAATTGTCTGATGTACAAATTGAGCTACTATCGGTTTGGCGAGTTAAAATTGGATTACAGGTAACTCAATTTGATTCAATCACACTTCTATCGCATATGTGACATAATATAAAGATGTATAGGAAGTATATTTTGTTAAATCGCAAAATAACGCCTGGCAGCTCCAAGGCGATAAACTTAATCGATTCAGCTTGTTTGTCTGAACGAACTCAGAACCTATTAGAGCTAGTTATAACGACGATATAAATAATTTATAGTGTCCGTACAATTATTGCGATGATAAGCAAACATATACGTTGTAACGTGTTCTCTAATAATCGGAATGTACTGAACTGTACTGTGAATGAGTTTATATTTTTACTAAACAAATCTTCAATAGACAATATTGAAATCCGAATAGAAACAGCGAAGTTAAGTAATTGAATTGCTTTTCCAAATAGCTAAAGCAAGCTAAGTTAAGTGAGCTATTTCAAATGTATTTAGATTATGATGAAGTAAAATATTTTAATAGCGATTGATGTTGAGTTTGTTAGGTTATCTCTTTGTCGGGCATCCTGACAGGAGGTTCGTTGTTTGTTTTAAAATATTATTAATACAAAACTTTTATGTTTATAGGGGACCTTCTGGATACGATCGGACTCGCAATGCTGTAATTGGCAATAAAGATTTTGAATTGACATATTTGGAGGAAGCTTATACAACAGAACATTGGCTCGTTCGGATCTATAGAGTAAAGAAGCCCTTTGAATTTAATAGACCATCGTTAAAAGCCAAAGATAGACTTATCCCACCAACAAACTTTATATCTCGAAAGGTATTTATTTTTTATAATTTTAAAAGCGGTATACATCTATTTTAATTTTTTGATAATTTTTTTTAGAACCTTAAAAGGCGCAAAGGACTTATTCGCAATCGACCAATGGTTGTTAAAGGAAAAAGGACTTTAAAATAAAGTATATTGATATAAATGTGACTGCAATAAAAAGTTCAATAAATAAATAAAAGATTTACTAAATTTTTACCGTGATGCAGCTAAAGCAATAATTGGATGATTATATTTACCACCTTATGTTCCAGTGGATTGCGTATTTGACGTGTCCTTGCTTTTAGTAAAAAATATCATTTGTGGAATGAAAAATCCACTGTGCACAATTTTTATACTCTGAGCCCATAGAAATGGAAAAATAGGGTATAATGAGTTTTTATACTCATTCATGAAAGTGAAATGAGTATATTAGTTTTGTGCATGTCTGACCGTCTGTCCGAAAAAAAACAAAGCAATTTTGTTTGGCGCTATTGAAACTCGAGACTTGAAATTTGGAACACATCCTCGAGTTTAATAATTATTCTTGTGGACATACGATCTTCATGCAACTTTCAGATTATGATTATAACATGAATATGCTCTAGTGTGAAATACGCCTTTTACAAAGGTAAATTTTAACAAAAACCGAAATTGTACAAAATACATATAAGTCTACATTTAAAATTTTTAAACTCTAGCTTTAAAGGTGTAGGAGATATAATTAAATAACTAGCTTTCGACACTAACCAGAGAACACATAGACCGGACAAGTTGTGTAAAGCGTTTTGCACACTTTTTTTTCGGGAGTTATCTCCCAGACACTTCGTATTTGCTCGGCTCTTCACTTTTTGGGTTCGAGCTACGAAAACATACGAAAGCACAATCATTTCACTTCATGCGCTCGACCGAGATGGTCGACTGTTGAACAAAGGATCCCTCTGCGCTGAATGTTTCCCTTGCTCTCTCTCTCTCACGATGCTCTCTGCTCTCTCAAATATGTATATGTATGTATGCATGTGAGCACAAGCAGCAGCTCACGAAAATTGAAATTTCGTCGCAGCAAGAACCCATGCCTTCCCTTCTGTGTGAAGAGTATACCGAACTTTTCAAACCGTTTGCCAAGCTCCTACAAAATATTTGCGTTTTCGTTATTATTTGTGGGAAGGGTATGAAAGCGTTGGTGCGCATAATGAAGATGTTTTCGCGACAAGCATGCACACACACACACACACTGTCTCTTGCTACATGTACCATGAGCATTTGTATGCCTGTGTGCGAAGCTCTTCATGCCTGTAGCAATTTTAAAGCCCAGCATTTGCATTTAGTCGATCTTGTGAAGTGATCTTCGCATGGGTTCTCGCTGCGACGAAATTTCAATTTTCGTGAGCTGCTGCTTGTGCTCACGTGCATACATACATATACACATTCGAGAGAGCAGAGAGCATCGAGAGAGAGAGAGAGCAAGGGAAACATTGAGCATAGAGTGACCTTTTGTTCAACATTTGACCATCTCGGTCGAGCGCATGAAGCGAAATGATTGTGCTTTCGTATGTTTTCGTAGCTCGAACCCAAAAAGTGAAGAGCCGAGCAAATACGAAGTGTCTGGGAGATAACTCCCGAAAAAAAGTGTGCAAAACGCTTTACACTACTTGTCCGGTCTATGTGTTCTCTGGTTAGTGCTTTCGATAAGGCTTTTATTCGATAATAAAATATCGGGAGTAGTTATCGATATTTAGAGAAAAGCTCGATAAGCGCGTGATATACACGGACCTAGGAACAAGGTCAAGTCTCTAACTCTTATATCTTCTGCGATCGACGCGGTCATACATACGGACGGACAGACAGACGGTCAGGGCCAAATCGACTCAGCTCGTTGCTCTGATCAAGAATATATATACTTTGTGGGGTCTGCCACGCCTCCTTCTGCCTGTTACATACATTTCAACACAACCATTATACCCTGATTTCCCATTGAAAATGGGTTCAGGGTATAAAAACAAGTAAGAAAGCTGTAGTCGAGACTGCCCGACTACGAGATTCGCTGAACCCTTCGAGCAACTAATATTTCAATAATTATTCGCATATGCAAATATACACGCCCACTCACAGACATAAGTACGCACGCCTAAACACGCATTGGCTGCGGTGCACTGCAGTGTGGGCTTACTATGGTAACTTAATTCTATAATAACTCTTGTGGATGGACTATCTTCATGAAACTTTCAGACTATGAATGTAACATAGATATGCGTGTATTTGCCAAAGGACAAGGTCCGTGTATTTGAAATACGCTTTTACAAATGTGAGGATGAGGGGGTGAATTAGGGGTGGGGGGTAAATTTTGACAAAAAAAACGAAATTGTATACAATGCATATAAGTACATAAAGATGTAGGACATATAAATTAATTACTGGTTTTCGATAATGTTTTTAATCGATAAAAATATCGGGAGGAGGTATCGATTTTTATTATCGATTAAAAACCTTATAGAAAATCAGTTACAAAATTATATCTCCTACAACTTTAAAGCTAGTTTCCAAATTTTTAACGTAGATGCATGCATATCCATGTTATAATCATAATCTGAATCGTGTGTGTGTGTGTAAGTAGAAAGACGTGAAAAATAATTGAAATAGCTATTGCTCGAAGGGTTCAGGAGATCTCCTAGTCGAGCTGTCTCGACTAGAGCATTCTTACTTGTTTTTTTTTTTTTTTGTTTTGTTTTTTTAGACTCATTCACGAAAGTGAAATGAGTACATTGGTTTTGTGCAATGTCCGTCTTGCTGTCCGTCTGTCCGTATGAACGCAATCTATTTCGGCGCTATTGAAGCTAGAGACTTGAAATTTGGAACACATACTCGTGTATATCTCCGCTTTATAAAGTGTTAAAATTATCCCGATCCGCCCACTAGGGGCGTGGCAAATCGGAAAATGCATTTTCCGATTTACCAGAAATCATGTTTCTTGAAGAGCTAGAAAGCTGAAATTGAGTATGTAGGTCCGCAGCGACCACCCAAGATCACAAGCTATGGCGGATATATCTCCGCCTATTAGGGGCGTGGCAAATCGGATAAAACTGTATCTCTTAAAGTTATAAACCTAGATTGCTGAAATTTTGCACGTACGCTGATGTTTTAATTCTATGAAGATGGGTGAAAAATTATATATCTCCGCCCACTAGGGGCGTGGCAAATCGGACCTGAAGGTATAGTGATGTTTCGAATTCTGCTATATTTTAGGCATTATTGATGCTAGAGATCTGAAATTTGGTATATATACGCGGGCTGATCACCCAAGTCCACCGCGCTATGGTAGATATATGTCCGCTCATAGGGGGCTAAGAGCTAGAAGCTTCAAATTTGGATAGTTAAGTTACTGGTAGCCTCCTCTATCGATGCCCCAAAAATAATTTTTACGCCTCTTTAGGGGCGTGGCATATCGAAAAATACCCTGTAATTTTCACATTTTTTGAGCGTAAGAATTCAAATTTTGCATTTAGGTTACCGGTTGCTCAGTTGCTGGAAAAAAATGAGGAGTCTACAGCCACTAGGGGCGTGGCAATCGGCATTTATAGTGCCCGAATCGCGGCATTTATATGCGTCAGCCATCTATTTATGCATTTGTACATATAAATAAGCTTAATAGATATTCATAATACGAAAAGAAACATTTTTATGAATTAAAAAAAAATTTAAAAGAAGCTAAAACAAAAAAAATTTGCAACTTACAAAAAAGTGTTTTCCGCGGGATTTGAACTCGCACCCAACCCAAACAGCATGTTTGTCAAAATAGCTAAAATAAAGATCGTCGGCGCTTCAGCCTACAGCACCACCGCGTCGTTTCGATCAACATTAGTTAAAACGAAATCACATTATTGTTATGACGCCACATAGCAAAGAAAAGCCAGAGTGGTGGCTGGAAATTCAAAAACAATGCAAAGACAAATCAATCGCAGCGAGATTCTTAGAATATGCTAGAATACGCATTTATGTGTACATACATACACACATGCAAATGAGCGCGTGTATAAGGCTGGAATGCTTGATGCTATGCGTGTAACTTACATATATACATATGTATATATTTGCGTATATGTATTTGAGGGCTGTTTAAGAAGAAACAAATTTAAACTTCTAAATTTATTCGACTAAGAAAGTGAAAAGTATTAAGTGCCATCACTAACCAGAGAACACATAGACTAGACAACTAGTGGAAAGCTTTTTGCACGCTTTTTTTGAGGCTTTAACACCCCAGACAGCTTTGGACTCGCTCGGCTCCTTACTTTTAGGTTCGAGCTACGAAAAAATACGAACGCACAATCTTTTCGCTTCATGCGCTCGACCGAGATGGTCAAATGTTGAACAAAAGGTCACTTTATGCTCAATGTTTCCCTTGCTCTCTCTCTCTCTCGATGCTCTCTGCTCTCTCGAATGTGTATATGTATGTATGCACGTGAGCACAAGCAGCAGCTCACGAAAATTGAAATTTCGTCGCAGCGAGAACCCATGCGAAGATCACTTCACAAGATCGACTAAATGCAAATGCTGGGCTTTAAAATTGCTACAGGCATGAAGAGCTTCGCACACAGGCATACAAATGCTCATGGTACATGTAGCAAGAGACAGTGTGTGTGTGTGTGTGCATGCTTGTCGCGAAAACATCTTCATTATGCGCACCAACGCTTTCATACCCTTCCCACAAATAATAACGAAAACGCAAATATTTTGTAGGAGCTTGGCAAACGGTTTGAAAAGTTCGGTATACTCTTCACACAGAAGGGAAGGCATGGGTTCTTGCTGCGACGAAATTTCAATTTTCGTGAGCTGCTGCTTGTGCTCACATGCATACATACATATACACATTTGAGAGAGCAGAGAGCATCGTGATAGAGAGAGAGCAAGGGAAACATTGAGCATAGAGTGACCTTTTGTTCAACATTTGACCATCTCGGTCGAGCGCATGAAGCGAAAAGATTGTGCGTTCCTATTTTTTCGTAGCTCGAACCTAAAAGTAAGGAGCCGAGCGAGTCCAAAGCTGTCTGGGGTGTTAAAGCCTCAAAAAAAGCGTGCAAAGCTTTCCACTAGTTGTCTAGTCTATGTGTTCTCTGGTTAGTGGTGCCATTCAGTCAAGCTCGCACCTTCCCAATAAAATATCTATCTTATAAAAAACGAAATATGTATGAAAAAAAAAAAACATAGTAGAGGTTCGA